GGAACAATCAGTGCAATATATAATACAATGTGTCCAGTGTTTTCCACAATGGAAAATACAAATGACCTGAAGTGTCTACTGTTTTCATGTTACATACTTTGTGGACAATTAAATAGCAGAAGCTGTCTTAGTTGTCATTATAGTCTCAATCTGAAGTACAGTGAATAACATGAAAGTGTTTACTGTTGATAATAAATATTGCCTATAATGGAACTACAGTTGAGGTTCAAGTAGTAGAGCCTCCGCCTTGAGCAAAAGGCCAAGTGAGATTGCAACCCATGAGTTCAAGTCTCAGTACCATCACAAAAATGAAAAAACAAACAAACAAAAAGACCACAAACAAAAAACTCTAAACTATGTTTATAGCATTCCAGGAACTTCCAAAACACATTTTGCCCAATTCTCTTTTTACAATTATTTTCTTCACATGATGTGCAGCTATTCAAGTGATCACCATTTGTAGTTCTAGTTATTTGCCAAATTAAAGAACTATTCATTATATTAAGATTTTAATATGTTTTCCACTACATTATTCATCTTTTTTTGAAACATAGGGCAACACCTAATTTCCAACAAAGTAGTAGCAGCTATAAAACTTCTCAGTCAAACTGGATTTTTCAGATATGGTAACCTTTTCATAGTTAGTTACTTCCATGGTAGAAAACATTCCTGGCATTTTTATGAGGCGTCTTGGTGCATATTCTGTAGTTATAACAAAATGTTCAAAGCTCATTTTATAAAGGGTTTATTTATCTAACAGATTCAGAGGCTGAGAGTCCAAGTTCAGCAATATCATCAGGTAAAGTTCTAATGATCATCGTGGAAAAGAATGAGAAAGGGAAATGCATGTGTGCTGTAGTGAACAAATGTGCACAAGTATCATTTGCTTTATAATAACACATTTTTGGAATAACTAACCAAAATAGAATGCTTGATTTTATGAGCATGAATAAAATTTATAGCAAGGAAAAACAAGATGATAACCCTTATCTTTTAAAAAAATATATCAGATCATCCCTATAACTTAAAATCTCTCTTTGTTGTTCAGCCTTTAACCCACATGAATGTCTTTTCAAAGTATCATTCAAGTCCTACTTCTTTTATGAGGCCTATGTTTTTCCATTAACTCTAAGGCATCTTTATATAAAAATGGTAGCATAATACACATTCATAGATACAGTAAAGATGGATATGTGATCTCTTCCTGAGAACATAATCCAGTAAGTCCACTGCATCATTAATCCTCAGCCAGGGATTATTTTCCAGCCAAAGAGACATTTAACAATACATTGCAATATTTTTGACTTACATAATACACTGTTGGTATCTGAAAGCTAGAGTCATAGTACATCTTTACACTCTAAAGGGAGCAGAATACCATCACCACACAATTTAGAATGATTTGGCACAAAATGTCTTTCGTACCAAAGTTAACCGTTGCATAAATTGGCCAAAAATAGACGTGGCTTGTATGCATATCACTTTGCATTCTTATGGCCAGACTTTTGTTGGTGGTTATCCTGAGAAAGAGTGAATTTTGAACAGAGATAGTGTTCACTTATATCTGTTTCTTCTGTGTTATCTACATTGCCACATCATCAGTGAAGAAAATGAAATTGGGCTGTCACAGTTTTCTCTTTGACAAAGCCACATCAATTGATCCCCCCTAAAGTGCATTGCAAGTCATTGCTGGTGATTGAACATTTACAGCTTCATGGTTTGACTGCATATTGCACATGCTATCAAAGTTAATTTGACCAGTTATGTAATAACCACAGTTGCATATAAGAAAACAAAGTGATTGCTTTAGGTAGATACAGCTTTCAAAGTATTTTTTGTCATTTTTTTATTGCAAAAATACTGTACAGAGGGGTTACAATTACATGGGCAAGACAATGAGTCCATTTCTTATCAAGCATCAAAGTTTTATTTTCTATTTCCTTAAGTGGTTTTTCAATTTTTTTTCTTATTTTTCTTCTCTTTGTGTGCACTGAGCATTCTCTGGATGTGTTCCCATCTCACATCTCATCTTATACTGTTTTCAACAAGGAAATGTTTCCTGTTTAAATCTCATCAAGGCTAGCTTTCTTTTATGTGTCTTTTCTTATGTAGCTTCCTTCCAATGCCCTCTGCTTATCCATCTTAGCTCACCCATCTTGGATCATTTCTTTCTTGTTACTTATTTCTTAACTGATATACAAAAATACAGAAATACACATAGTACTGTGGTTTTGAGTACTATTATTAACTTTTATATCTACCTAAATATAATCAAACATACAATTATGAATTTCATATTCTTGAAAGTTGGTTCTTTTTAAGATAATATTAGGTAAACATTATTTCAAACTCTATTATATTTCTTCCTGAGGACTTAAGAGAAACTAATCAATTTTACAACAATATGTACACCCTCCCCCACACACTTAAATGTAAGTGTGTGATTTTTTTAATGGTTCTTAATTTTAGGCTTTCCAGAGATCTATGAAACAAGGAGAAGCAGTAAACTGAACAACTATGTATTTTCACAAAAAGTAGAAAAAGGAAATGGTCTGTTACAACATCTCTACCATATGCATATCAAGGGAAAATAAGCAGTATATAATTTTCATCCTTCTATGGAACATCATTATTCTCAGAGGACAGAAAAGATTATGTGTAAAAAACTTACAGAACTTTTAAACATCTATGTTAATATTTTGGAAAATTGCTAATTAAGATAATTATAAGCTCCAATTTATTTTATTACTATTTAATTATAATGACTGGTTATTCAAAGGCATAGCATGTACATTTTTAGATTTTTTTTAAAGATTTTGATTATGAATTTATCAAAAGCCAATAGTTTACCTTAGAAATAAGATTTTTTAAAACATATTTTATTGTAAAGATACTGTACAGAGGGGTTACAGTTACATTAGTAAGGTAATGAGTGCATTTTCTATTGAGCATTGTTAGACCCTCCTTTGTTTTTCCCCTACTAACCTTCCTTCCACACCTGCCCAACTCCTCTCTCCCCCACCCCCAAAGTTGTAAAGTTCATTTTCAACATAGTGTCTTGAACATCTCATTGTTACAGTCAGTCAATGTTTATCCTTGTTCCGGCATTTTGTTATTTCCCTTCCCCTCCCCAAATTAGAAAAATGTATATACAAGATGCAGGGCACTGGAATCAAACTGTGTTTGATTCTCATAGTGAGGAAGAACATACAAAAGAAACAAAAAAAAATCACATAGAAATAAGATTTTGAAGGAAATGATAGTGGGTACCTATAGCATTACACAGCTGTCTCATTTAGTTGTTATCACAATTCCACTTTAAATGTGTCTAGAATATAAGATAAAAAATAATTAGGGTAAGAGAATATAACATGTCAGGCAACAGGCTTCTTCCTGACTCTTCAGATTTTTTCATGAATATAAAAACGTCAACTTACAAATCAGTATAACTTGCTGTACTGCCATCCAAGTAACTGAAATGTCAGAAATCCACATAAAGAATCCAAAAGGTCTTTAAGAGGATGTATCATATTGTGATATCTAGTAAGGAAATAATGAAAGCAGAGAAATAGCAGCAGGAAGCAGATAAAAATGAGGGAAATAAAATTAGAAATGATTTTAGAACAAGTAGTAAAATGCAATGGCTTAGAAAAATAAGATCTAATTAGTAAGACATTTTTGACTTGCCTGGTGTTTGAATTCAGGGCTTTGTATTCACAAAACAGATATTCTACACCTTGAGATAAACTTCCATCCCTTTTGCTCTAGTTATTTTTAAAATAGGGGCCTTATTTCTCCCCAGGATGGCCATCGCAGGAATGACAAGTGAATTCTGCTACACCCAGCTTTTTTCTGTGGAGATGAGGTCTACTGAACATTTTTCATTCAAGCTGTGCTCAAACTGCTATTTTCCTGACCTCAACCTCCTAAGTAGCTAGGATTATAGGCACACATCACTAGCTCCCAGGGAATAGGCATGATTTTTAGGTTTGTGTAGTTACTGTTACCTTTCTGCCATTAGTGTGTCATCATTAGAGAATAAGGGAGGCACTAATGCCTTAGAGCTGGGAGAGAAAAGACAGATTTTTGCAAAGAATATAAAACTAGAGGGCAAAAGACCTACAATCTAGTAGTAACTGAATTTCTTATTACTTAGGAAACTTTGAAAACAGTAGCTTATTTTAGCTTTAACTGGTTACCATATCTTTCATGTGTTTGGATATTTCAAAATTATAACATTTTCAAGACTTGTTCAACTTAGAAGTAGAGTTATGAATAACAAAATAATGAATATTTAACCCACCAACAATATTTTTATCTGATTAAAGAGTATACCCAATGACTTTCATTGCAATCATTTCATTTTGTTTCATATAGAAGTTACTAGCAACTACCATTTTTGAAACTAAAACCACTAACCTGAATTATCATAAAAAATTTTCAGATTAAATAGAAACTTAATTCGGATTATTCTGGTGAATTAGAGGCTTGGGTTCAAAACACTTAAGGGCCGAGGTAAGAGTGACCCACATGGTGGTCACAAATTGGTAATGGCAAGATAGACCTAGTGTCAACTTGGCTATCAGCCAACATCTTCAACAACTGAAACTTACATTGTAGCTGGTGAATGCTATACTCTGGGAATAATTCCCTAAATAATTTCTGTACATTAATTTAGATGAAAATGAATTCTTAAGGGTTGTCTGAATAAGCTAGCTAAAATATAAACCCAAAGTAAGCAATGACTTTTGTCCTGATTTTTAGACCCACCACTAATGTTACAAAAATCCTGATAAATGATCTTTTATCAAGAAAGAACCAATTCCAGGTATTTCTACTTGTGATCAAATCTTAAAACTCATGTGTAAAAGTTTTACTGTTATGTTGTGGTAGCTCCAAAATTCTTGTAATCCATCCGTTTAAGTGTAAATTATGAATGATTTAGCCTTTACTTTTTTTCATTGATAATGAAACACTGTATTTTATTTACTTGATTACAGACCAAAGGTTCTCAGACCATGACACCCTCTGGCACCCAGAAGAAAGTTAAGAGAACACTCCCAAATCCACCTCCAGAGGAGGCTTCCACAGGAACTCAGTCAACCTACAGTACCATGGGCACTGCCTCCAGGAGAAGAATCTGCAGAACCAACACCATGGCTCGAGCCAAGATTCTCCAGGACATAGACAGAGAACTTGATCTTGTCGAAAGGGAATCTGCCAAACTGAGAAAGAAACAAGCAGAACTGGATGAAGAAGAAAAGGAAATAGATGCCAAGCTTCGATACTTGGAAATGGGAATTAATAGGAGAAAAGAGGCATTACTAAAGGAGAGAGAAAAGAGGGAGCGAGCCTACCTGCAGGGTGTAGCTGAGGATCGTGATTACATGTCTGACAGTGAAGTCAGCAGCACCAGACCAGCCCGAATAGAAAATCAACATGGCATTGAGCGACCCAGAACAGCTCCCCAGACGGAATTCAGCCAGTTCATACCACCACAAACTCAAACAGAATCCCAACTTGTTCCTCCTACAAGCCCTTATACACAGTACCAGTACTCTTCTCCTGCTCTTCCTACCCAAGCACCCACCCCTTACCCACAGCAGTCCCATTTTCAGCAACAAACCTTGTACCATGGGCAAGTCTCACCTTACCAGACTCAGCCAACTTTCCAGACTGTAGCAACAATGTCCTTCACGCCCCAAGCTCAAACTACACCAGCTCCACAACCATCTTATCAATTACCATCTCAAATGATGGTGATACAGCAGAAGCCACGACAAACCACATTATATTTAGAGCCTAAGATAACTTCAAACTATGAAGTGATTCGCAATCAACCCCTTATGATAGCACCTGTGTCTACTGATAATACATATGCCGTGTCCCATCTTGGAAGTAAGTACAACACTTTAGACTTGAGAATAGGTTTGGAAGAAAGAAGTAGCATAGCAAGCAGCCCTATTTCAAGTATATCTGCAGATTCTTTCTATGCAGATATCGACCATCATACTTCACGAAACTATGTCCTCATTGATGATATTGGCGAGATTACCAAAGGAACGGCAGCATTAAGCACGGCATTTAGCCTTCATGAAAAGGACCTTTCCAAAACAGACCGACTACTTAGGACAACTGAGACCCGCCGGTCACAAGAAGTCACTGATTTCCTAGCACCTCTGCAGACTTCGTCCAGATTACATAGTTATGTGAAAGCAGAGGAAGATCCAATGGAAGACCCTTATGAATTAAAGCTTCTGAAACATCAGATTAAACAAGAATTCCGCAGAGGGACAGAGAGCTTAGACCACCTCACTGGTATTTCGCATTATTACCATGCTGACACGAGCTATCGACATTTTCCAAAATCTGAGAAATACAGCATCAGTAGACTCACACTTGAAAAACAAGCAGCCAAACAATTACCAGCAGCCATACTTTATCAAAAGCAGTCGAAGCATAAGAAATCACTCATTGACCCTAAAATGTCAAAGTTCTCACCTATTCAAGAAAGTAGAGACCTAGAACCTGATTATTCGAGCTACATGACCTCTAGTACGTCATCAATCGGTGGTATTTCCTCTAGGGCAAGACTTCTTCAAGATGACATCACGTTTGGCCTCCGAAAAAATATTACAGACCAACAAAAGTTTATGGGCTCATCTCTTGGCTCAGGACTGGGTACGTTAGGAAGTACCATCCGCTCAGCTCTGCAGGATGAAGCAGATAAACCATACAGTAGTGGCAGCAGATCGAGACCTTCCTCCAGACCTTCTTCTGTCTACGGACTTGATTTATCAATTAAGAGGGATTCTTCCAGCTCTTCACTAAGGCTAAAAGCTCAAGAAGCTGAAGCTCTTGATGTTTCCTTTAGTCATGCATCATCGTCTGCCAGAACTAAGCCTACTAGTTTGCCAATTAGCCAGAGTAGAGGAAGGATACCAATTGTGGCTCAGAATTCTGAAGAAGAAAGTCCACTCAGTCCTGTGGGCCAGCCAATGGGAATGGCTAGGGCGGCAGCTGGACCTCTGCCACCCATATCAGCAGACACAAGGGATCAGTTTGGATCAAGTCACTCATTGCCTGAAGTTCAGCAGCATATGAGAGAAGAATCACGGACTCGGGGTTACGACCGTGACATAGCATTCATCATGGATGACTTCCAGCATGCCATGTCAGACAGCGAAGGTAAAGTGGGCCTCAAACTCTACCATCACTCTCAAAACTCAAATTCTTATTTTTCTGCATGCTTAACTCTCCTTCTCCAAGGATGGAATCTACCTTTCTTGGTGCATCTTTTGCATGTTTACTTCAGTTTTATTTCTTGTGTGTGGAACTTTTATCTTGTGTATGGACTGTGGCATCCTTGTTTATTTTAGTTTATTCTTTCATTCTATTTTTTGATTGCTTGTTTAATTTTTTTGTGTTTGCTTTTCCAAAACCATTATGAAATAATTCTATCAATAAAATATGGCCATCTTTTACATTGCTAGATAGAAACTTTTCCATCATATGGTTCTTTCATTTTTAAATTGCTAGATAAAAACTTTTCCATTGTATGGTTCTTTCATTTTTTAAATATATTTTTAAATATTTGGTCAATTTCTGTTTATTGAAGTGATTAAGAATTAGAGTGATTAATTTTTGCTAGATTTGTGACAGAATTATTTATGTTAATCTTAGGCAATGAGTGTATACTAGTTTAAAGATGTTCTTTTTTAGGACTTTTGAGTCAATTTCTAATGTCAGCAGAATGTAGACTTTTATAAATCTCATTAAATAAAGATGTGTTTTGTCTTTCTCATTAATACTATTATTCACTTCTTTGTATGTTTTGCATTACATACTAGAAAGTTTAGCAATACATAAGAGATTAGAAGTAAATAATTTATTTATTTGATGATGTGCTTATTTGAAACAATCATTAGATTGAAATTTTTTTTTAATTATATGAACTACTTTTGTGATTTCAGCCACCTGGAATTCAAGCTTTCCTGGTGTGTGCATTTAGATTTCTTAGCTTTGATTGTTTATTTGTTCCTCTGCTTTGGACATGGGACCTAGTTTTTCATATGGAGCAAGAGCTTCAAAACAATCTTAGATATAAACAAACATGAGTTTTTCTTGTTCCTATTTCATTGTATAAAGCCATAAGGATCACAAAAATTGCCTAGTGCAATTCTCATTTTGGATATGAAGGAACAGTATAGTATGTAATATGAAAAACCTTGCCCATGGCAGCAAGACTCAGGGCTCTTGATTCTTCTTTGCTTTAAAATTACTTGTGTGGTATACATATGAACATATGCAACATATGCAAAGTTTGAGTCCTGAAAATAAAACACTTAGAATCAAATGAAAGCATTATTATGTCATTTTTCTGGAGATTCCAAAAGACTAAGCCAAAATAAATGTGTATTCTCCACTTTCATATATAGTGTCTTGCCTGAATATTCACAGGAAAACATGTTTTAAAGAATGTTCTTTCAATTTATGTGACTTTTAAAACTCAAATCTGGAGCTTTATGAGGGGGGGAGAATCTTGATCTGGAGGAAGACAACTGCTTTTCCTTGTAAAACCAATCAACTACTATTTTTCTAGAAATTTTCTACTCTCCAGACTGATAGATTGATCAGTTTTATTGACAGCAATTTAAAAACACACTCAAATGTATATTTTTTTCTAAATCTAGCTATTTTGTTTTAATTAACCTATTGAGATTAATAAGAATTGCAAGATTATATGAAGTCTTTGATTTTTTAAGTTTTACTTTCTAATACATTTACATAGAGTTTACACATACACAGACTGACTGCTGATGAAGAATAAGGAGGCTTTTTAGTTCTTATACTTGTAAAATAACAAAACCCTAGATGAGCTCTGACTTTAAAAAAGTACCTAAAGGCTATGTGTACATACAAGAGGTGTATCTGGAAATAATTTGAAAAATTAATTTATTCCTCACAGATGATTCTCAATGTGTTGTTACATGTATATTCATTTGTGGTTATCCAAGTATTTGTCACTCACTTTAATACATATATTTTAATTTAAAAAATAACTGTTTTTATGTTTTTTTTGTTTTTTTTTGTTTGTTTGTTTGTTTTTGTCATTTATGGGGCTTGAACTCTGAGCTAGGGCTCTGTCCCTGCGTTCTTCAGCTCAAGGCAAGCATTCTACCGCTTGAGCCACAGTGCCACTTCTGGTTTTCTAGTGGTTTATTGGAGATAAGAGTCTCACAGCCATTCCTGCCTGGGCTGGTTTTTAACCATGATTCTCAGATCTCAGCTTCCTGAGTAGCTAGGATTACTGGCGTGGGCCACAGCCACCTGGTCTGTTTTATTTTTATGTATCAATAATATGTACTAATAGACATCAATGACTCTGAAGGAATAGTTTTGATAAAATAGACAAGGTATCATGCAGCCTACAAAAATTGATATGGATAAAAAGGATACAAAAAAAACAATTTACATGAAATTTTAAATATGGCATGTATTTAAAGTTGAACAGACAAAAATTATTTACTAAGGTTTTTTGATTCAGAATTAAAGGACAATAACAACAACTTGAATGACAGAGACTATCTAACATTATATATTTGAATTGTAGTGATTTTCTTTAAATGGTATGAATAGTATACTACTTGTACTGTCTTTTTTTTATGCCACATGAAAATATCAATTTTCTATTGCAGCAATAGAATAGTAGACACTTTGCTTCTGAAATCTTAGAGTTGATATTTAAGGGAGAACCTTAAACTATTTTTCTCAATTACATTATTCCTGACATTTATAAAGCTAGAATGTTAGGATTTTTTTAAAAAAATAGCAAAAATAATAATAATTTGTATTTAAATGTTGTTAAGATAACTTTGAACAGGTATTGTAATATGTAGACTAAATCAATTTAATTGCTTTCAAATTTTATGTTGTATGCTGTCTTTGAATTCAATTAAACTTTATGTTGTAGGCTATCAGATGTTTCTCAGATATATTCTATAAAGCTTTAGCCTGTAGAATATCTCACTTAAGAAATAAAATCTAAATAGATAAAATTCATACTGCTTAATATTTATATCAGCTTAATACCAATTACAATCTCTCTATGTATTTATTAACACAGAACTTTTGTTGAAAACATCTTTCAAAAAGTACTTAATCTTCTGTCATTCTTAAAAGCATCCATATGCAATATAGATATAAAATATTCAATTCATAAGCAATATTAGGCTTAATTAAACTATAGAACTGAAAATCTGTGAATAGTACTAGACACAAAAATAGGTTATTTGTATTTTACACTTAGTAGTTTAAAAATATTATCAACTTATTTTTAATTTTTAATTTTTTAATTTTTTTTACTTTTTTATTTTTTTATATATTTTTTTATTTACAAGGGGAATTTGAATTTGCAGAAATGTATTTGAATTGACTTGAAAAGTGCTTTTGTGGTGATGGTCCTGGGGCTTGAACTTTAAGCCTGGATGCTGTCCCTGAGCATTTCTGTTCAAGGCTAGAGAGAGGGAGAGAGAATGAAAGCACTGTCCACAAAGTTCCAGTGTCTCACACCTGTAATCTCAAATGCTTTACTTCCCTGACTAGCTTCAAACCATGATCCTGAGATCCAGCCTCCTAAGTATCTGGGATTACAGGTGTGAGACACTGGTACTTTGTGGAAAGTGCTTTCACTCTCTCTCCTTCTCTCTCTCTCTATCTAATATAATATATAAATTGTATATAAATATGTATAATATATAAATTATATATAAACATATATAATTATGTCTCTACCATGACTGATGAGACAATTGATGTTCTGAGCTACTGTCTCCAAATGAGATGAGCAGAATTTAACATAAGAAAGCATTCCTTCATCTGCTTGCTCTTGGTTATTTTTATTTTGCTTTATTTCATTTATTTTAACCAGAACTAGGCTTAAACTTAGGGCCGTGAACTTCTCCTCTTCCTTGACTGTTTTACTCAAGGCAGGCTCACTATCTTGCTTAGTGTGTATCTGTCTATCTATTTATATAGATAGATAATATGTATATATCTTTAGTCATAAAGAGTAGTTACCATTAACAAAGCAATTTATGATTGCAGTGCAAAGCAGTTTGTTAATACATATTGACCAGTGTCACCACTTCAATATTGTCAAATAAAGCTATGAAAGGACTGTAGATATTCTCATTCAGTTGTATATGGACTTATTATTAGAAATAGCAGATAAAAGTAGGTTAAAACTGGAAATAAATCAATAAAATTTGAGTCAGATGAGATTCTTCTTTATTTGTATAGATATAATCAAGATGGAAAAACATACATTGGAGAATTATATTTCAAATTGAATTAAGAAAGGTACATGTTCAAATAGATTAATTTATTAGATGGGAAGGATAGGTCAAGTGGTAAAGCCCCTTAATACCTCATGAGTGTGAGACCCTGAGTTCAAACTCCAATATCACAAAAAAACAAACAAAAATAATAAAATAAAAAACATGAATTTACAGCAAGTAAATTCATATAGGACATTATTCAGGATCACTTATTGAAATGAATAAAGATAATGTTTATTTTCATTTAAAATATGTAATAAAAAACTTAAGACATAAAGCAAATTTGATTCTTTGTGGTTGAGGACAATCTAATAAATTTCAGAGAATGATTATTAATAATAAATTTGTTTTATTTTTTACTTATCAAATGTCAGTTACATAAAATATTTTCCTGTAAAATTAGTCACTTGGTTTCAAACTACTATGTTACCATAATAATTATGGAACAGACTGGGAAAAATTGTATGTATTAATAGAGGTTTCCAATTTCTTCCCCAAATATTTAATATTATGTTATTTTCATGGCATTGTTTTTATTGTTGAAAGACTACAAATTAGCACAGATATGATCTTGTGTTCAGGCATCTTAGAGTCTTAAAAATTAGCAAGGTATCTTCACAAAACAGATTTGTATTCCCATTGAGAAATACTATTTATTTCTCAAATCTAAGAATGAATAACCAGTGACACATAATCTCTCTTCCATGTCTATTGGAGAAAAATGTTATTAAAAAGCAGCAATGAGCAAAGTCATAGGTATAGAGACAACTTGTGGTAGGTACACTGAGTTGTCGGTCTTGTCAGCATAGAAATGATGGAATTGGCTTGCAGAAACTGGCTTGCAATTTTTGTAAGAAAATGTAATCCAAGAAAGGTGAATAGATCATGATGGGATAGAGGAGAAAGCTCATGTAGTATTATATATAATGCAAAAATCTTTCAAAATGAACATTTTAAGAAGGGTGGATTCATCTTCCATTTAGGAGCAGCATTGTATTGCCAAGGACTACTAATTAGGGGCCTTAATTACAAAAATAGCAATTTATGCTATCATTTAAAAAAATTTTGGTGGTGCTAATGTTCCAACTCAGGCTTTTCACTTGGTAGACAGTCATTCTATCCCCTGAGCTCCACTCCCAGTCCAAAGTGAAGTTGCTTGTACTAGAATTCATAAAAAGGATTTATAATAGTATTTATAATCACTCAGCCTTAAGAGACCTTGAAAATAGTAATAGAATGAGATGGAAATTTTAAATAGTTATTGTGTACTTTAAAGATAGATACATTTTCAAATATACTTTATGGTGTAAAATTTTATTGCAGTGAATTATAAGAAATACAGTCTAATAATTCTCGATGTTCTAAATGTTGCTTTAAAATTTTAAGATTTTAAAAGAAATATTTTACATATTATGCCACCATGTACTCTTGGGACAAATATTCCAAGCAATAACACTTAGGATACTCTTAGAAACAAATTATTTTTCTATTGTGAATGTCATAGAAATGGCATATTTAGGGCTGGAAATTTGGCTTACTGGTAGAGTGCTTACCTAGCATGCATGAGGCCCTGGGTTCTATTCCTTGGTACCACATAAACAAAAATAAATTTAATTTTTTAAATGGCATGTTTAATGAAAATTCACTTATTGCTAAACCCAGTAGCCCCATATTGATACAGGGTTTATGTAGTAGTAGCTAAGTGACTGAAATCTTCATGTGTCCTAATTTAAAATGTGATTTTTGTTTTGTTTTACTCTGAGATGTTGGAACAGCTGTGTCCATAATTTTTCTAGTTATTCTTTGGCGTGAAATTTTAGCCTAATTTTATGTTTAACCTGATAATGAAAATGACATTTCTCATTCCATGGGATGATGTATCTGCAATGTGTGTGTTGTTAACAAGCCTAGTGCATGTGAGTACTGCAGAGCATCTATCTGCTACCCATCATCATCTGATTAGTTGCAGTTGCAATGTATGAGATGTTTCCTTGGTCTCTAAAGCCTATCACTTGCGTCGTGAAGAAACGGATTGGTTTGATAAACCCAGGGACTCTCGTTTGGAAAATGGACATGGACTGGACCGAAAACTACCGGAAAGATTGGTGCACTCTAGACCACTCAGTCAACATCAAGAGCAAGTAAGTGCTGAATTTAGCTATCTGTTAGATTTTTCTACAAGATTCATTTGTGGTGAATATGATTTCAGTTATATTAAACCTTTATCATGCAAGATCCCATGTATTTTTTTGGTAACTTAAGTATTTCCACATTTTATTACCTCTGATTGGCATTGGCTCATAGCTGTGTTACTTCCATCAGACAATTTGAATGCTTGCATTATCCAGTAGATATTTACTAAATTTGTATTATATATCCAGCACTGATATTATGTGGAGTTCTTGAAGAGCTTAAAGAATACCAGGTAAGATAGATTTGTATAATTTTCAGTATTTCCCATAAACATATGTTCAGTCTAAAATATAACAGATATGAAGATGTCTAAGCCAACTCAGAAGAGAGGGTTTTATGGAGGAAAAAAGATACACTATATGTAGACATTCAGCATTTTGTAATCATAGTCTGGATTATCTCTATATAGCCACTAACATAAAGTAAATAAAGGAAGAAATCAAAGTATAAATAAGTTTTATAATTAGATAACTATAACAAAATTTATTAACTTATTTTAAAGCAACTGAAGTAATGTTTGAGTTGAAATTTGAAGACTGCTAAGACACAAAGGGTTGGTAAATTGAAGGTAATGGTTTAGTAAACTCAGTGGCCTGGCCTTAAATTGATGCCCTAGCATGACAGATACTTCTAGGTTACAAATCATTATGATTATTACAATACCCACCAAAGAAGTAGCTTATTTATTCACTAACATCTAAATTATCCTAGTTAGTGAGTTGCTGGTAGAGTTAATAATAATAATTTGAAGCTGAGTTAGTTCAAAAGTATTTACTGTATTCTAATTTACTATGACTTTAATTCACAGAGTGTTAATCATATTGCATAACCAAAACAAAAATTTTGCTGTGCAAGTACTGTAATACATCATCTTAGACTTCTTGCTCAGAAGCTTCAATTTTTATGAACATATTTTGAAATGTTAATTAGAATATCCTTTACTATGCTATCTCATTTTCTAGAAACATTGGATATTCTTTTCTACATATTTTAATTCTCTTTTTAAATTTTCATCTTTAATGTATTTAAATTAAGAATTTTTATTTTCCACTGTAAACTTGTCAATATGCTTTCCTTCTTTGTACTTTATTTTAGTATATTGGGTGATACTGAATTATGCATTTCTTAGCTAATGTTGATACTCTTAAAATTGTATTTTAGTTATAGTTCTACTCTCTATAAAACAATCTGATTAGGAATATGTCATGAAATAAAATTATTTAAACAAGCTTTGAAATATTAAATTTGCTTTTTAATCACCATTTTCTAGAATGGTAATTTGTCTATTGAAGATAACATCCTCAAATATATTTTAAGAATATATGTAATAATGTTTTATGTATTACCAATATCATGTCTCTAATGTTCAGTATTTCCAACATTCCTACACAATGCCAATAAAAATGAAACGGTTTTTCCTGGTGGTTCATGGCTCAGGAGGCTCAGATCTGAGGATCCCAGTTTGAAACCAACCAACCAACCTAGACAAGAAAGTCCATAAGACTCTTATCTCCATTGAACAAGCAAAATGCCAAAAATGGAGCTATAACTCCATTTGTAGAACATTAGCTTTGAACAGGAAAAAGCTCAGGGACAGTGCTTAGGCCCTGAGTTCAAACCCCAAGACCAGCATCCCCCCCCAAAAAAAAGAAGAAAGAAAGAAAGAAAGGAAGGAAGGAAGGAAGGAAGGAAGGAAGGAAGGAAGGAAGGAAGGAAAGAAGGAAGGAAGGAAGAAAGGAAGGAAGGAAGGAAGAAAGGAAGGAAGGAAGGAAGGAAGGAAGGAAGGAAGGAAGGAAGGAAGGAAAGAAAGAAAGAAAGAGAAAGAAACTATAGCCATGGTTGTTATTGTTTTTAATAATAGTAACACTGCTATATACATTGGATTTCTATGGGGAATAAAGCTATTTCTTCTGCACATTTTTCACCTAACACTACCTTTTCTTAGGTACTCAAAATGGAGTTTTCCAACACATATATCTATCTGATATTACTTGAGAATGTAATCTGCGCTAGCCCTCAAAAAAACATTCTAAACTTGTCTGTTTAGGTAGATGAAATATGGATAGTCCTATTAAAAGCTCTGTTCCTAATTTACTGTTACCAATGTATATAGACTTATGGTTATTTTCTTTTGAGTAAATCATATACAACACATACTTTAATGGTAGCATTAAAAATATGCTGAGAGTATATTTCAGATAAAATATTTTACAATATTTAGTAAAGTAGAAAACATAAGGATAATTGTTAGGTGAATGTGATAGCCTAATATGGATTTTCTTGCTATTAACAGTTTTAATTTGTTTAATTACATCTTTACTTGGGCATCCACAAAGTAGACAAATTATATGTAGTTAGCAAAATGCAAATACACAATGTTATAAGTTAGTTATGAACAGCCACATAGCCACTACACAGGCAAGAAAAGGGAAGATTGCCTGCATCTAGAAACTAGTTTGGACCAGAGTCATAACTTCTGCATTGCCCAAACAAGTGACAGTTAAATCGAATATTGTGGCAATTATTTGTTTTTACTGGTAGTTTTTTTCTAAATATAAACTATATAAAACATCACATACACTTTGATTCCATAACATTTTGGATTTTAATTATATAAAGTTCAAAATTCATGCTTTGTAGCATTACAATTTAAGCACTGGCTTCCTCTTTAACTCATCATAAATGTATTTGTATCTGGAGGACAGCAAACTGTTATTTTAATTTTATTCAATTCTTAGATCATAAAAGGTAATATTAAACTCTAGATACCAATAAACTCAAAATGCTTTTATTTGAAAACATATGCATAATAAGAGTTCGTGTTCCTGGAGAGAGAGATACAGATTTATTTTCTTGGCTTCCCTAAGAGCTTTTCTTTAACTTTGTCATCTGCCCTGGGTCTCTGTCCACAAGGCTTGCTTGAGAGGTTAACATAGGTAGCAATTACCCTTTGGGTATGTCAGTAGCAAGTATTGGTGGAGATCAGAAGTAGGTGGGGGTTGTCTCTTCCCTGTAAGGTCAGTGTGAGCTGGCTAAGTCCCTTATCTGAAGGTTATTGTGTTTCTCGATGTGGTTTTCCCTAAAGGATTTGCCTTCTTGATTCTGAGGACATTTCTTGCCCTAACTACTTTGCACCTAGCCCAAAGTGCAAATCCCCCAAGATTACCTGGCATCTTACCAATACATTTTTATTTGGATCCTTTGTAAAAAACAAAACCAAATCTTCCTCAAATCATCATCATTCAGGAATTCTAATTCAGGTCCAATATCTCTTCTAAATCTTCTCAATACCAAATCAAGAATCTAGAATTGGGTGTGGTGGGGCAGTGAGAGAAAATGAGGGAGGGGGTAACACTGTTCAAAAAGAAATGGACTCATTACCTTACTTATGTATCTGTAACCCCTGTGTACATCACCTTTACAATAAAATTTAAAATAAAAGAAAGAGTCTAGAAGCATTATAAAAAACAAACAAACAAAAAAAAAACAAAACAAGAGTCCGTGATCATAAAGTGTTCTGGAGGCAAAAGAGATAAAACCAAATCAACTAATTCAAACACTAATTCATTTGCTTTAGGTATTTTATACAAAGCATAACATAAGGACATAGGAGAAAAGAATGGTTGGACATTTTTATTAGACTCACAATCATATTAACTAGTAAATAACAAAAAATGTATAAATTCGTGTCTGTTTTGCATACATGTTTATATTTATGTGTAATCCCTCAATGCTTCAGTAGAAATCCAATTCTGCTTTGTGAAGTTATGAGATCATCTAACCTCATTTACTTTTTATATCTTTCGTTAGATACTTAATCCCATAAGACTAATATCCTCTAAAGGGTGGGTACAGTGTTTGGCACATTTTAACTATTATAAAATGCCTCCCCAATACATTACTGCTGCACACATCCTGTGCAGTCCTCATGCCCCCAAAGGAGCATCTATCTCTTATGCTGATGCTGACATTGGGTTGGTCTCTCTCTCTTTCTCTCTCTCTCTCTCTCTCTCTCTCTCTCTCTCTCTCTCTCTCTCTCTCTCTCTCTTTCTCTCTCTCTTTCTCCTTTTTTCTCTCTCTCTCTTTCTCTTTCTCTCTCTCCCCCCTCTCCCTTTCTTTCTCTCTCTGCCTTTCTCTCTCTTTCTCTCCCTCTCTTCCTCTCTCTCTCCCTCTCTCTCTCTCACTCTCTCTCCCCCCTCTTTTCCTTTCTCTATCTTTTATTCATCCCTACTGATGAGTAGGGTTTGGTCCATATACCTCCCTCTCTTGAAACAGACTACTTTGATACTTTCACCAACACAATCTCCCACAAATCTGGTAAAGGTCTTTACTCTGTGCTCCAGTAGAACCCACCCACAAAAGTGCAATGGCAGTGTTCTGATTCCTCCACAGGATATGTAGGTGCACATGCTTAGCATAGTGTTGGGAACTCAGTAGTGCACTCTTTCTCTTAGTGAAGCATTTAAGTAGACAACTGTCTAGATAAGGAATGTTAACACAAATGTTATCATTTCATTGACATGAAGGTTCAATTTAGGAAAATATTTGTAGTTAGAGAAGAAAAACTATCATTTTAAAAAATGGCTTGCAAGTGATAGATGCCTCCATGTACAATTACCAAAAGTCAGTAGTAATGGAGACCAGACTCTTGGAGCACCATTCAATCCAGTTCTTCCCCTGGCCTGTTCCTTCTCATTAGCAAAAGCAACACTATATCCATATCCAGAGGACTTTCTCAACATTAGTTTGCAACTGTTAGAAAAAACTTTGGCATCTGTCTGTTCTATATATGAGAAAAGACACTTCTGCTCATTACGGACCCTTCATCATATTCATCCTAAAATTCTTATACTTCTTTATTAAGTGCAAACGTGAAGCTGGTTCTAAACAACCATAGAAATTACAGGTGGTAGTGTAGAGATAATCTGAAAGCAACGTTCATGGAAATCAAGCTGTTTGACATCCCTTCATAGATATGAATTAGAAAAATAACTAGCAAATAAAACTGGTAAAAAAAAAAAAAAAACAACAATGTTCAGGTGCTGGTAGCTCACACCTATAATTCTAGCCACTTGGAAGGTAGAGATCTGGAGGACTTGGATTTGAGACCAGACTGGTCAAATTAACTAGAACCCATCCTAATGAATAGCTGGGTGTATCAGAGCGGCAGTGGAAGCTGATATTGGAGGAATCACAAATGCAGGCCAGCTAGGGAAATAATTGTTTGGAAGACCCCTATCTCAACAGAAAATTATGAGCATGTTGGCATGGATCTGTCATTCAAACTATAGTAGGAAATGTAAGTATGAGGATCATCGTCCAGGAAAGCCTGGGCCAAAAGTGATACCCTATTTTAAATATAATCAAAGCAAATAAGGCTAGACTTGTAATTCAAGTTTAGAGCACTTGCCTAGCAAATGCAAAGGCCTCGGTTGAAACTTCAGTACTGATAAACAACAACAAACACACTAAATTTAGAAACCTGCTTGCTTTTCTAAACTGTGCAAAGATGCACTATGATATCACATCTTCAGTAATCACCAGCCTCTATGTATTTGTACATGTGTCTATACACAGATATATACACATATATACACATACATACATATATGTATATATGGGAACACTAGTAAGGAAGAAGTAACAAAGTAAGAAATAATTTAAGTATATTAGAGGAAGTGAGAGGCAGACAGATAAGAGAGAGAAAAAAGAACAGTAGGCAAGTCATGGGAGAAAGAATTTTTGTAATTCGACTTACTAGAGCATTGCTCCTTTAATAGGGTTTCTTGCAGTACACGAAGACCAGATAAATTTTCTAGGAACGTTTCTTTACAAAATGTACATCTCATCGGCTTTAACTTTTGTTCAATAAGTTCAGATAATAGTCTTACATTTTTCTTAAATGTATTTGAAAATAGCAGTATGAAATATCTATTTATTAAACTTTCTTTCATTTGTAATTTAAATAAAAAATAATAGCATTTTTAGATATGGATACTATTTCTCATTTCAAAAATCTCTTTTGAAAGTAAAGCTCCATAAACCATAGGCACAAATTTGCATTCACTAATTTACTTTTGTTTCAGAAATGACTTTTCACCAGGTGGAAGCAGAGATAATATTGTACTGTCAAGTTAATATAGTACTGTCAAGTTCAACTCTCAGTAATGAGAATTGAAATCACAGACTTGCAACAGTAGCTTCAAGTGTTACTTCTTCTACTCTAAAAACTTTATACTAAATGAGAAATAATCCTGTCAATAATACAACTTTTGCACACAAAGCAAGCTTCAAAAAGTGTTGAAATGAATCACGGCTTTATTTAGGCAAAAATTAGTATCCACATACATTGCAACTTCTAGTTGATGCACTTAGCAGAAGTATAACACCAAAATAAACAACTAATTTGAGCATAATGAAATCGTAATTGTGATAATAGAGATGTGGAATAGGGAAATCTCATTTCCTATACAAACATCACTTACTTGATCAAGATGAGAAATGCCTAGGCTGAGAAGAGCAAAATCACCAGTAGGCAATATTCCATATACATTATCTATTCATAGTCATCAATGACTATATATGCTCTGGTAATGGACTTCTTTGAGACCTGTTAGATTCACCAAGTTCCCATATAAAATAAATCAGTTTGCAAGGCCAGTTGTTTAGAAGTTTGGAAAAGCTAGTTTAATCATTACATTATATTAATGAAAGATGCTTAAACTTATCATTTGAGAATGTTCTGATGTATTTTCATTAATTTGATTGATGTGTCTTTGAGTGAGCAAGTGTAGTTAAGTGCATATTACATTTTAAGTGTGTTTAACACTGATTTTTCTTCTTATATGTGCCTTAGATCATACAGATGAATGGGAAAACTATGCACTACATCTTTCCTCATGCCAGGATAAAAATAACCAGGGACTCTAAAGATCACACCGTTTCAGGTAAATTAAATCAAACAATCCAGTCTTCTTTATTCAAATAGCAGATTGATGTATGTAATGAGCTTTCATTTATATTACTCATTAAATTTTAGAAACCCATATTTTATATAAAAAGTTGTGTTCTAGAAAATGTCCAAAAATAAGCAGGCTATCTATTCTAGCAAAAAAAGTCACAAACTTTAGCATGAGGGATCACTGTATAATAAATGATTTGACCCTTCTTTTCTGCATTTTAAAGTGCATGCTGATACAAAAGGGGGCACAGCTATCTCCTTCGATCTTATGTCTGATAAGGCAAAGATTAAAGCAAGATACAAATAGTAGTGAGTGGTAAGATAGTCTAATAGGAAAAGAATATGTGAGACCTGGCCACTCTTGCCTAAAGGAGGAGGGATGAATATCAGGGAAAGGAGAGTTATTACATGGTGAGCATGCCACTTCACTACATCTTCTGCCATCTTTGAGATATGAATAGGAAAATTCAGTGACAAGGGACAAAAGATATGCATAGAACTCCAGTATGGTGTAGCCTCACTGGTCAATATCTCAGTTGAGTTTTGGAGGTGTTGTTATGGCTGTCATCACTGGAGGGCAGCAGATCTGGTCCCTGGGAGATGTTTCCTCTAGCTCCAGGGTGCAGCCTCATAATTCTAGGTGAGTGACCTTGTTAGGGAGTGGTCTATCCTGCAAGGTTCTGTGATTCATTAGGCCTAGTTATCTTTCCCAAATAAACATGTGTCACTCCTTTCTTCTCAGAACCCAAGGTGATTGTAAAGTGACTATAGAAAGTGGTTTAAGAGAAAAACAAATACAAACTGGAGGGAGAGATGATAGCCATTTCCCTGTTTTTAGTTCATTTACTTTTCAGCAAGTATCTGATGCAATATCCTTTCAATAGACTGAAAGTGGGTTTTCTCTAGAGTAAGAATGATAGCATTAGCCTTTGGTGTTTGAGTATTTATTGAAATGGTTCTGCCTATGGGGCTTAGGCCTGCTATGAGTTGGAAGTTTTAATTATAATTCGGTATTTTCTCTGAGAGGCATAGTGATCTCTTTCTCCCATGGTCAATACTTGCCTCTTTGTTATCTGATATACTTTTTTTCTCTTTAAATATTGGAGGTCCTGGAGAATTTCTGTTTTAGCTTTTCTTGTATAGACCCATCTCTTGTGCCTAGTTTCTATCATGATTTCATAATGATTTGTAGTTATTGCTCAAATTAGTAATTTAAAATTATTATATCATTATGAATTATAAAAAATTATTTCCCTAATTGTCTTAACTTTTTCTAATGAATAAAGTCCATTCGACTTAGTATTTATACTGCTTATTTTTCTGGTTGTATTTAGTTATGTCCTTTTATAAATAAAACTGATGAAATTTTTAAACTTTTTATTTTGAAATAATTTTAGACTTCCAGAAAATAGTTCAGATGATTCTTTTCATTATAGTTTGTCCAGCTGCCCTAATGTTAATATCTGACTATATTAATATGATCAACTCCCCCATATTGACATTGCTTTGGTGTTATTAATGCATATGTCTTATACAAATTATGAGTTTCTTCAACAACTCACTATTTTTTTAATGGTACAAATTTTTTTTGGTTAGGAAATAGAAAGACTTGGAAAATTTATATTTTTTATGTTTGTTATAGTAAAAATACTGTAAAGAGGGGTTACAGTTACATGAGCAAGGCAATGAGTACATTTCTTATTGAGCATTGTTGCCTCCTCCTTTGTTTTTCCCCTACCATCCCTTCCCTCCTACCTCCACAACTAACACCCTTACACCCTGACCCACCAAAATTGTAAAGTTTGTTTTTAACATAGTGGTTTGTACATCTCATTGTTACAATGGGTCAACCTGTATCCTTTCTTTATTGTGAAAATACTGTACAGAGGGGTTACAATTACATGGGCAAGATAATGAGTACATTTCTTATCAAGCATTGTAGCCTCCTCCTTTGTTTCCCCTTCCCATCCCTTCCCATCCTCCCCCTGCCTCCCCCACCCAGTCCTCCTCCCTGATTGTTGTAAAATTTAATCTGGAATTTCACATTGCACTTAATTTTTGTGACTTCATCATGTACTGAAACCTAGTAGTTCATTAGACTTACTTTGTACTTCATAAGCTTGGAACTTCAGAAAGCTAGAACTTTTATTTTACAAAAAACTATCCGATTCTATAAATGAGTGAGATGTTATGCATTTTTTGAAGTTAATAAAATTTCAAAGATTGAATATTCTCTCTATTACTACTCAAGTACTTTACATTTTGTGCATTTTATGGACCCAAGATATCAATACAAAATATTCATATATATTCTGTGTGTGCATATATATATGCAGTATTACATGCCTGCATGAATATATGCATAAGCACCAGATCTAGTATGGTATTTTTACTGGTTTGGTTTTATGTTGTTGTTGTTGGGGGCTGCTTTTGTTTTTTGCAAACACTAATTGTAACAAAAGAGTGATCTATCTCTTCAATAGTTGTTACTGCTGGAGATTTGAGACCTTGATAAATTCACATGTGAAATAGCTTTTCTTTGAATAATTTTCCTCCGTGTTTTATAGAGAATGAGTCAATTAGAAGTCTAAGGTTGTTTTCTTTGTTAGATTAAGTAATTATACTTATACCAAAGGAAGATAATTTAAACTTCCATATTTTTTTGTTATTTACACTGCATTTTAAGTGATGATAAAAATCCAGAGGTGAATCTCGAAATCCAGGAGCACTTTTTGCAGATGTTATTACTTGCAGAAATTATTTCAGTTTATGCTATCTCATAAGCAAAACAATATAACACTTTACAGTGATGCCAAAATTATTTTGAAAGATGAATGATAGCCACTGTGGAAAGCATTATGGAGGTTCCTCAAAAGATTACACATAGAGCTCCCCTATGACCCAGCAATCCCAATTCTGGGCATTTACCAAAACAATCAACAACAAGGCCATACTGAAAGTATCAGCTCAACTATGTTGATCTCAACAATATTCACCATAGTTACGATACGGAACCAACACAGATGCCCATCAGTAGACGAGTAGGTCAAGAAAATGTAATATATATATATATATATATACATATATATATGTATATATATATACATATATATATAAATACATATAATGGAATTCTATACTTCCGTCAGAAAGAACAACACCACCCCATTTGTTAGGAAATGGAAATATTAAGTAAAGTTACCCAGTCCCAAAGAAATTTAGGTGCCATGATTTCCCTTATTTGCAATAATTAGTATGCATACAGGATAATCTCATCAGATGAGCTGAAAAGCTCAAAAACCATGTACAAATGACCATATAAGATGATGCTAAGTGAAATGAACCCAAGATATAGAACACAAGAGGTCTGTCTTTATTGTTATTGTTTTAAATGTACCATATGGTTTTATTTTGTTGTTGTTGTTGTTGTTTCCTTTGTATGTTCTTTCCCCTATGGCTTATCCCCTGTTGTCACTGCATTCGATTTTGATACCCTGCATCATATATATATATATATATATATATATATATATATATATACATATATATATATATATATATATATGTCTAATCTGGGAAGGGGGAGGGGAATAAAAAAACTCTGAAACAAGGACACAGGATGACCCATTTCAACAAAGATACCCACAGGAGAGTATATTGGAAATGAACTTTACAACTTCAGGTGGCATGGGGTGGGGAGGAGGGGATAGGAGTGTGGGAGATGGGGGAGGGAAGACATAGTGGGGCAAAAACAAGGCAGGGGAGGGGTAACAATGATCAACAAGTAATGTACTCATTGCGTTACTCATGTAACTGTGACCCTATACAACATCTTAACAATAAAACTTTTAAAAATGTAAAAAAAACTTGAAGCATTTTTCCTAAATTATCAATATATGTTTCATACCTTCATTCTTACTTTTATTCCATATAAAAGATTATTACTTCTGTCTTAATTATATTTTGATGCTCATGTTTGTTTTCTTTTGCTTCAACTGGAAGAAAAGTTTAAAATAAGAAAATGGCACAAATAAATGCTACTGATTTCTTGTTATGAATAGTGACCAAAAACTGAATTCAGTTTCCTCTTTATCTATAATTTGAAAGTGAGAAGATTGCTTCTTTGAATAATAAATTTTCTAGTGCTATACTATATCATTTTTCTCCATATCACTTTTTCTCTTGATATCCACCTAAAATAATACAGTTTTTTGCATGTTTTTATTTGCTCTGCATTGATTATACATTCCATCGATCTTTAGGAAATGATTACAAAATTAATGTTTCCAAAAAGCTCTTTAGAACTCCAAATATATGTACATGCACTGCTAGAGCCAGAAGTTACAATCATAAACAACATCTAGTAGCAGCCAAATTGATGGAGTATTTATACTCTTGGCTCATCCCTATATCATTTGTTGGCTAAACCAAAACCTAGTATGATTAACTAAATATCTGTTATTGTAATTGACTATTGTTATTTTTTAGCTAAAGTTGCCAATTTGTTTTTAATTAAGAAATTTGTATTCAAGTTGATGATAAAATTGTATGTATTTATCTGTACAACTTGATGGGTATTTTTGTGGTTTGGTTTTGTGTATGTGTGTGTGTGTGTGTGTGTGTGTGTGTGTGTTTGCCACACTCAAGACTTAGGCCCTAGGCATTCCTGAGCCTCTCTGAGCTCAAGTCTAGCACTGTACCACTTAAGCCACAGTGCCACCTCCACCTTTTTCTGTTTATGTGGTTCTGAGGAATCAAACCCAAGGCTTCATGCATGCTAGTCAAGCACTCTAGCATACCACTAAGCCACATTCCCAGCCCACAATATGATGTTTTGAAGTATAGTCACATTGTACAATGACTAACTATGGCTAAATAAATTCTCTGTTACCTCAGTTATATTTGTGCTAGGAACATTTTATCTCCACTCTGAATATTTTTTAAAACTACAGTATGTGAAGTTGGGAATAGAACTCAATGTTAGAG